TGTTTCCTTGCTTCTTTCACTGCTGCTCTTGTGGCACAGTGAATTGAAGCTGCTAGAACTAATGGTGGCTCCCCAGATGCTGCAGCAAAAAATTTTTAATATTTTTCATTTTAGATTTTCAAACAAGAACAGCTGAAGCTTTCTCAATCTTATTAACATTCTAACACAAAAATAGGCTGCAGCATGCCTACAAGTTATAATCACATTTTACCCCCCAAACTATTATGCAGAAGAAATTGAATTGATTGTTTCTGTTCCATTCACTTGCACCTAAGCTTTGATACCAAACCTCTTTTCTTTAATTCCTGTTCTAGAGAAGCATATTCAAGCTACTACACTAAATGACTAGTTACTATATCATGCATCACATATTCAAGCTACTACACTATTTGACTAGTTAGTTACACCACAGCAAATATATATGGTTAACAAATATTTTCTCACTTCAGACCAACATTTTGGAATTCACTGCTAGAATAAACCTATAATGAATCAATGGAAGAGGATTTACAGAAGTTCCCGTTTCATGACAAGTGATGTGCATTCATGAGGACAATAAACAAATAACACCAATGCACAGAAAGATTTTTTGTGACTTGGTCATACCTTTTGAAGAGAGAACTCGATGCTGGTGGTGACCACTGTTGAGGATTTGAACATTAAACTGTAATGGTATAGTGTCTATTGTAGGGATTTTGTAGTTCCAAGTGCAGTCTTGCAACACCAAACCATCAAGATTTGTTTGGTATTGTTCAAGCATGAAATACCCCAATCCCTGGACAAAAGCTCCTTCAATCTGCAGGATGTGATTATATAATCAGGAGGAATTGCAAATACATAGATGAATAACTGAACAGTATTTGTAACTTGATAGAGACCAAAAACATTCAAAGACCTCCAACTAAAATCTTAAGCTTTTTGGTTTAGTAGGTTCTTAAGAGATATTTTTAGCTAAAGGAACCAAAGCCTCTTAGTTCTTAACAAGATATCAGAAAGTTATCAGGAGTTGATTCTTGTGTTCTGCACTTCTAAAAATCAATGTAATTTTTTAGTAAGGAATAGTGTGCAAGTTCTTAGTCTCCCCTTGACTCCCCTAGGGCCTCAAAGTATTGTATTGTGTTATTCCTTGATTAAGAGTTGAGTTTGCATGACAAATATGTAGTCAGTTTACCTGTCCTAAATCCACAGCAGGGTTAAGACTCTGTCCACAATCATAAATAATATCTGTTTGCAAGAATCTGGTTTCACCATTCAGAAGATCTATTTCCACCTGAGAAATAATTTGCATGATTTAAAATATCAGTACAGGATAAGTTGTCTCAATTACTTCTATAACATGGCTTTTGTGAAAATATGACATCAGTGCTTACATTCAAAAGTAACTATCAATGAACTTGAAAAAAATATCAATTTGATTTGAAATGTGCACGAAAAAACAAATGAAAAACCAACCCACCTCACTTATTGCAGCACCATAATTAAGGTAGCTCATGGAGCTCATGCTGGGTACATAAAATGAAGATGCTGATAAGTTCACAGCTTGCATGTATGCCTGCATTTCAATAAATTCTCAGCAACGTGGCAATTAATATTTATGCTTATGGACTAGGAAAATAAGAAGAAATTCTCTACACCCAATTCCATTTGCACAGTTTACTCCCCTAATATTTTCTTAATTGAAAGGAGTTAATTATGATCCCATAAATTGTGAGAACACTAGGTACCTACAAGACCTTAATGGGAAATCCTTGAAGCTATACATCTTATGCACAATTACAAATACCAATATACATTCATCGATGTAAATTAAGAAAAAAAAAACATGTTTCTAAACCTCACAACAAAGAGTAGTTAAATTCAATCATAAATAATCTGTCAATGTGGATCATAAAGAGAGAAACAGTTAAGATGATCAGAAAGAGAATTCCTTGAGAGGAAAACTTATGAATGTTATAGTAGCTACCTGAAGAATAAGGGTCTCCCAGTTGATAGAGCCCATTTCCTTCTGCAGGTTTTCCTTAAGAGGCTTTAGCCTCTCTACCAAGATATTACAGCTAAGCCTAACTGCATCGCAGCTTGACTCTGATGTAGTGCTCCCAGCAGTGAATCCTCCTTGAATCAAGCTCACAGTATCAGATTGTATAACCCGTATTTTGTCCAAGAGACCTCCAATTCCATCACATTGAATAGCCCCAAGAGCATATGCAGCCATCTGTTTCACCTTCGTCCAGAGACCCTGACCCACTTCAATTCCTCCAACTTCAACAACAACAGACCCGTCTGAAAAAATACTTACTTTTCCAGGAGTTGGTCTTTGCATCAATTGAATCACAACTGGTACTCGAGAGATTCCCCTTTTCTTCCAGGTGTTAATCCTGTTAAACTCTTGCACCATTTTGGTTCTCTGGTCATAGTTTGCAGAAACAGCTAACTCATTCCATATTATAGGCAAGGTATACTCATTAGGTTCACCATGAGAGTACTCATAGAATGACTGAAGACTATTGTATGTGTGAAGATTAATGCTTCTGACGGAGTCTACATCCTTTGAAAGTGTAGCTGCTACATTTTCTATAATAGCTTCAGCAATAAATGATCCCTGCACTTCCCCAGGGCCCCTCATAGCAGATCTGCTGGGATGGTTTGTTCTGCATACCTTTATATCACAAGCTAGCGTACCCCAATCGTACTTTTTTAGTGCAGAAACTACATTATGTGGCATTATTGCACTTATATCTACGTATATCCCTGCATTGACCAGAATTTGAAGTTTGAGTGCCGTAATCTTACCATCATTCCTAAACCCAACACTGTATGTTATCTTCATAGGATGCCTTCCTCCAGCCATTATCATATCTGTCTTTCGATTAAGATATATCCTTACTGGGCGCTGTAATTTATGTGCAGCTAGTGCACATGATGTGGCAACCTGCAAGATCCACTTGTTAGTACTATACACGCATGCAGACATATAAAGTTTTGCATGTAAGAGAGACTTTGAGAAAATTAGTAAGGAGGTGGGGTAGCTACTATCACAAAATAAGAGGGAAACAGTTGTACGTTACTTCAAAATTTTGTAATATTGAGAACGAGGACCTCAGGCTCAGTTGAAGGAGATTTCCCTAGGTAAGGATACTAAACTTCCTATTTGGTAATAAAGATTTCATAGCATACTTTGTTCTTTCTTGGTTTCCTTTGATAGTTAGGGATAACTTTAGGGGAAGTAGCTATAATTCCTAACAACCAAGCAGTATTTGGACATGAAATTTCCATAGGCCATGGATTCAAATTTGAAAAACAACCTCTCTGCTTGCAAGGGTAAGGCTGCATACACCTACCGTCCACAGACTCCACTAAGTGGAGATCCCATGCACAAATAAACCTTTAGTCTTTGGTAGTGAATTTGCCCAAATAATTTGTGTAGATATAAATGATAGTCATATGATGGAATCCTTGTGTGTCTTAAACACAACAAAAGAACATATTATGTCTATTATGTACATTG